AGCCTGAGCTATTGGCTGAGCATTTATAAGTAATATTAAGGCTCTGTGTGGTTACTTGTGGGACAGAAACTTCTGCCTACTGGCAACCTGAGCAATATCTAAGATCTTGTTCACTCGATGTCCCACGGCCTCCCAAGGAACACACTGCTAACACTGTTCAAAGATGACTTGTAGCTAAGGAAATAGCTCAGTGGGTAAAGTGCCTGATGTACAGGCATATATACCGAGGTTCATTCCTCAGCACCCATGTCTGATGGTTTGAATGAGAGTGCCCCCATAATATCGGGTGTTTGAACACTTGGTCCCCAGTTGGTGGTGCTGTTTGGGAGATTGAGGGGTTGTGGTTTTGTTAGAGGAATTGTGTCACTGGGGGTGGGTTTGAGAGCTTAAAGACCTTGTGTCGTGTCCTGTGTGCTCTTTGCTTCCTGCTTGTGGCTTAATATATATGCTCCCAGCTTGCTGTTCCAGCCCTCATGTCTGCTTGCATGCTTCCCTGCCATAATGGTGATGGACTCTCACCCTTCTGAGCCTGTAAGCTCAAATAAACCTTTCTTTGGTTGCCTTGGGCATGGGACTTCTGGGAGGAGGAGACAGGAGGATCTCAGGGTTTCCTGGGCAGCCAGTCTAGTCAATTAGTGAACTTTTATTAGTGAAAGATCCTGTCTGGCCTGGATAGTTTTATGTCAATTGACACAAACTAAAGCCATTTGAAAGAAGGGAATCTCTACTGAGAAAATGCCTCCATAAGATCGGGTTGTAGGCCAGCCCAGTAGGGATTTTCTTAATCAGTGACTGATAGGGGAGGGCCCAGCCTACTGTGGATGGTGCCATGTCTGGACTGGTGGTCCTGGGTTCTACAAGACAGCAGGCTGAGAAAGCCGCAAGGATCAAACCAGTAAGCAGCACTCCTCCATGGCCTCTGCATCAGCTCCTGCCTCCAGGTTCCTGCCCTGTTTGAGTTCCTGTCCTGACTTCCTTTGATGATGAACAGTGCTGTGGCAGTGTGAGCTGAATGAACCCTTTCCTCTCCAAGTTGCTTTTCGTCATGGTGTTTCATTGCAGCATTAGGAACCCTGACTAAGATACTGTCTTAAAAAAACAAGGTAAACTGAGCAGTGGTGGTACATGCCTTTAATCCCAGCACTCGGGAGGCAGAGACAGGCGAATCTTTGTGAGTTTGAGGCCAGCATGGTCTACAGACTGAGTTCTAGGATAGGCTCCAAAGTTACAGAGAAATCCTGTCTCAAAAAAACCAAACCAAATTCCAATAAGGTAAAGAGTGTCAGAGGGAGGCACCTGACACTGACCCCTAGCTTCCATGGGTTTAAACCTGTGTATATACAATATCACACACACATTCTCACCCCCAAACAAAACAAACAAAACCTCAGTTCTCACCCTCCCCCCAAAACAAGAGTTGTTTAATGAAAATTAAGTTCAAGATTTTAATAATAGTCAGTCTGGATTGAAGAGATGTCTCAGTTAATAAAGTCCTTGCTTTGTAGCTCAGGTTTTTAAATCTGATCCCCAACCTTCACATAAAAGAGTAAGTGTGGAGGCCTGCACTTGTGGTTCCACAGCTTGGATGGTGGGGACAACTGGGTTCTGGCCAGCCAGCCTAGCCTAACTGGTGCTCCAGGTTAATGAGAGACTTTGTCTCAAGAAAAGGAATGGTATTCCTGAAGATGACTCTCAAAGCTGTCCTTTGTCCTCCACTCCTGTGCATATATAGGCATTTGCACACACATGAACATGACACACATAGAGATAGTCTGGGTGATGAGTATATAACTAGCAGTGTTTGAAACAAACTCGACAATAAAACTAAATGCTATTATTTACAAATGCCAGTTGATTGGATCATGCTATCCCAGCAGGCATGATGGAGACCAAAATGGGAAAGTGGCAGGCACCCTTCAGGGCCTACCTCCCATCTCTTTGAGATTCATTCCAAGTTCTTCAGCTCTCTAGGATCGCCCTTCTTCAAGGCCCAATTTTCTAAGGCTCCCCAAATTCTTGTATAGCCAGGTTGACCTGTGTTATTAACAGCTTAATTTGAATTGATATTAATATTAATAGCTTAATTTGAATTCTTAGTTCTAAACACAAACTCAGTGGCATACATCTCGGATCTGTGACTGTGAGTGAGGAGGCTGTTGGAAGACAAAGGTCATATACTACCTTTCAAACTACCCAGGTGTCATAGTGTTTTGTTTGTTGTTTATTTGTTTGTTTGAGATAGGGTTTCTCTGTAACTTTGGAGGCTGTTCTGGAACCCGCTCTTTTAGACCAGGCAGGTCTCGAACTCACAGAGATCCGCCTACCTCTGCCTCCCGAGTGCTGGGATTAAAGGTGTATATCACCACCACCAGGCATGTCTTAGGGTTTTATTGCTGTGATGAGACATTACAGCCCTGGCAACTCTTATGAAAGAAAACATTTTTGGGGCTGGCTTACAGCTCAGAGATTTAGTCCATGATTGTCATGGTGGGAAGCATGGTGGCATGCAGACAGATGGAGAGGTAGAGAGACATCTACAGTTGGATCCACAGGCAGCAGCAAGAGATAGTAAACCACTAGGCCTGGCTTCATGAACCTTCAAAGCCGCCCCTTCCCCCAGTGACACACTTCCTCCAGCAATGCCACGCCTTCTCCAACAGGATCACCCCTCTAATAAGGCTACTCCCTATGAGTCATGGGGGCCATTTTCACACAAACCACTACACCATGTTATCGTATGGAAATGAATACTTGGTATGAGTATGGTTTTTCATTTATTGATACAAATTCAAGGTCAATTTTGTGATATTTATATTTCCCCTCTTGTTTAAGTATTGTGTTTATACTGATCTTTTAAAACATAATGCATAATTAAATACAGACTATAGATGGTTACTTATAATAGTCAGAACTTATAGTTAGGTAAGTTAGGTTTTATAGATATACAGAAATATATTTGAGATAGATAGTCTTCAAACCTTTTAAAGACCTTCAGAAAATGGCGTTTAAAATGGTTTAGGGTTTTTCTTGACAATGAGAAATATCTGCTCCTGGCAGCACCAATTACGTCTGAGAGGAAGATGGGCATTGAAGAAACTCGTTATGGAGTTTGCTTTCAACATGGCAAGATTAGTCATTTGGGCAAGAAACTGCTCTTTCCTGGACTGCTTGACTGTTGCTGTATAAACTGGACATGTAGGACCCACAGGAAAGTGACTGCTGAACTCAAACAGTCCTTCAGGGTTCCTGCTTCATGGAAGAGTCTACGAGACTTTCTGCAGGACACAGGAAAATGACTGACAGACTACCAATGCAGATGTACAACTTGAAATTTCCTGCTTTGCTGAGAAGTCTTCCAGACACATTGTGGCCTCCTATGGGCTGAAGATGGATGCCCCAACGTTACAGAGGAACTTCGGGTGACTGTCCAGGCAGCGAGATATCTCTGTCCATTCTAGTGTTTATATATTATTCTTCTGTAGTATTTTTTTTTTTTTTTGGTTTTTCGAGGCAGGGTTTCTCTGTATCATTTTGGAGGCTTTCCTGGAACTCGATTTGTATACCAGGATGGCCTTGAACTCACAGAGATCCATCTGCCTCTGCCTCCCAAGTGCTGGGATTAAAGGCGTGTGCCACCAACACCCGGCCTCTTCTGTAGTATTTGATGGAGTTGAAGACAGTTATAATTATAGTTTTCCTTAGTTATGATAAAAGATAAGCTACATATAAGACCTTAGACTCACAAAGATAGGATAGATGATATTTTCTTTAAGTCTTACTAAATGTTAATGGACAAAATATTGTAACTATGTGTTTACTTGATAACTGTTCTATTATATATAATTTGACTATGTTAAAGTTAAAACCTTTCTTTTTATTTAGACAGAAAAGAGGAGATGATGGGGAAGCCCTGTGTATATGTCAATAAAGCATTGTTGGCCAATAGGGAAGCAAGATAGGTGGGACTAGGAGTTGAGGAGGATTCTGGGAAAGAGACACAGGTAGTCATGACGTAGCCGCCATAGGAATAAGAGGTCCGGATCCTTTTCTCCAGTAGGAGAAATACTTAGATTAACAATTATGGATTAAATACTTAAGTCAGAGCTAGCCAGTAAGAAAACAAGCAAACGGCCAACAGCTTCATAATTAATATAGCCTCCTGTGTGTTTATTTGGGACTGATGCGGCTCTGGCACCAGGCTGGCGGGAAGGCTGCACTCTACACCTTGTAATGGTTGGTTTTCATTGTCAACTTCATGCAGCCCAGAATCACCTGGGAGGGAGGAGTCTCCATGGGAATTGCGCACATTGTGTTGGCTTACAGGCATGTCTGTGGGAGGACATCATAGTCAATTGTGTGAGTGGTTCCCAAAAGTAACCCCCTGCCTAGAGAACTTCAAGAGCAGGCCTCCAAACTTACTCTTTCATGTTCTCAAGTAATGGGTTGCTGGAGTGGAGAAATCAAACTGAGAACAAGCGAGCAAGTGAACATGCGTGCATTTATTCTCTCCCTTCATTCTTGACTGAGGATAGGGCCAGCCATTTGAAGTCCCTCTCTTGGCTTTCCCATAATGATGGCCGACAACCTGGAATTGTGAGGTGAAATAACCCCCTTTCTCCCTCAAGTTGCTTTTTATTTCCCCAACTCCCGTTTAGCCAGTTTTCTTTATACCATATAACTAACAAAATAAATTCATCTTCAGAGAGAACTTTACATAATTACTGTAAGTGAGAAATCAGTATGACTCATCATAAACAGAAAGAAATCATAAAAAAAAAACCAGTGAAAGTGAAACAGTGTTCATACTCTCTAGCTGGGATCCTGTGAAGAAACTGTAGGCTGAGAGCAATGGCATGTTCCCGGGATCCTGGCTACGGGGGAAACTGAGCTGGGAGAATCTCTTATTTTGTTTCTAGGAATTTGAGATCAACTCATGGGTGGGTCTCATGGGGAGAACCATTGAGACAAAGAAATGTTTCCTCTTTGTTATGAAGTAATGGGTTGCTGGATTCAGCATCACCTATACAAAAATTATAATAACAGAGAAGATGAGCATGGGCCCTGTACAAGGATGATATGAAAATTTATCAAGATATATATATATATAAATTTGATACAGGGTCTGGCCTTGAACTCCACATGTAGCTAGAGAGGACCTTGAATTCCTGATCCTCGTATTTCTAACAGTGTGAGTCACCACAACATTGACACTTAAATAGACTTAATACTTATAAGTACCAAATGCAGATATTTTTTCATTGACTTAATAGAAAGGGACCAGAGCCGAAGAGGTAGCAACCCCTTGATTTACTCACAAAGATTCATTATTCCACAAGTAGCTGCATCCCAAGATAGATGGTCCTTCTGTCAGACTGCTCAGATCTCTCCTGCCTTACCGCAGCATCCAAGCCACTCCCTCCCTTACTAGTTTGGGTTTCTTAAATTCTCTCCTGCAGCTTTTCTTCAAGTCTCATGGGCCTGTGGAACCCACCTTGCCTGCCATTCATTCATATCAGCACAGAGGCCGATTTTGATGGCATTCTTCCTCATCCCCATCTCCAAAGACTCTCTTCATCTTCACTTCAGGGATGGATAAGCAAACTGGCCTCCCTGGCTGTTGCAAGGATCAAAGGATCCAATGAGCGATAGCGTCCTGCACGATGGCCGACAGTACTCAGAAAGGAGTAGTGGAGCACCACTGAGACAGTAAGGCTGACCTCAGTGCCAACTCCTGTCAAAGACTCCGTTCCTCGAGACAGGGTTTCTCTGTGGCTTTGGAGACTGTCCTGGAACTCACTCTGTAGACCAGGCTGGCCTCGAACTCACAGAGATCCACCTGCCTCTGCCTCCCAAGGGCTGGGATTAAAGGTGTGCGTCACCAACGCCCGGCCCCTCTAGAGCATTTTTATTACATCATTTATTTGTGTGTGTGTGTGTGTGTATGAGAGAGAGAGAGAGAGAGAGAGAGAGAGAGAGACAGAGAGAGAGAGAGAGACAGAGAGAGCATATGTGTGAGCATGTGTAGGCCACAGTGCAGTGTGGAGGTCAGAGGATAAACTTTGGGAGTGGCTTTTTCCCTTCCACAGTCTTGTGGGTTCCTAGGATTGAACTCAGTGTCAATTGCTTGTTACCAGCTGAGCCATCTCACCAACGTAAAATCCTTAAGAAAGGCTCTCAGCTATGTAGCTCCAGCGTTCTTGGAACACACTCTGTAGACCAGGCTGTCCTCAGACACACAGAGGTGTGGGTCACCCACCACCGTCCAGCATAAGCTCTTTTGTTTGTTTGTTTTTGTTTTCTTGAGACAGGGCTTCTCTGTGTGAACTTGACTGTCCTGAACCTCCCTCTGTAGACAGGTTGGCTTCAACTCAAGAGATCTATCTGCCTCTGCCTCCTGAGTGCTAGGATTAGTGGTGTGAGCCGCCACCACCCAGAGTATGTTCTGTTCTTTTTTTTTTTTTTTTTTGGTTTTTCGAGACAGGGTTTCTCTGTATTGTTTTGGAGGCTGTCCTGGAACTCACTCTGTAGACCAGGCTGGCTTCGAACTCACAGAGATCTGCTTGCCTCTGCCTCCCGAGTGCTGGGATTAAAGGCGTGCGCCACTGACGCCTGGCTGAGTATTTTCTGTTCTTAAACCACCCCTTCCACCCTTGCTACTGCCAAACTATCACTTTTCTGACTAGTGGTCATTGATTTTCTGGAATGCCATTTGTGTCTGCATGGGGCATCTCAGCCCTCTGTTAGGTAGTTCTGAGAGGAAGTGTATTTGGAGAGCATATCCTAGTGCTTCCCCACCCCTACCCCATGCTCTTGGCTTCATGGAAAGACCTTTCGACTTCCTCTCCTATCTGACGTGAGTAGGGAGGCAGCTTCTAAGAAGGGACATGGCCTTACGTCCTCAAAGGGCCTGAGTTTGGGGCTATATATTCACATAGGAGATTCAGTTCCTCCAAGGAGGCCTCCCTTGCCTTGAACCCTAGGTTCTTGGAAACCAGGCTCCTCCTCTTAGAAAAAGACACCCCATAGGAGTCATACAGTAAAGGGAGGCAAACATTCTTTTGGACAGATTTATCAATTTAACACAGCATAGTGGTGTCAAGTTACCAGGGTCAACAGGCAGCAACCGCATTCCTCTGGTGTTTGATTAGTGAGACGCATTAACTAAGCCAAGAAAACCCTTTCTGATTAATATCGTGATAAACTTTTTGTTGTTGTTTTGGTGGTTTTTTGGGGGGGCACCGCCAAAGCTCCTTTTATTGAATCTTCTCAGATGACGGCCCCTTTGAGTGGAAAGTGACTTATCTAAAGGTGGCTTCTGCCGGCACACAGTCATCAGGATTAGGTAGCTACTGCTGAGCTTCAGCTTACTTCCTTTCCCCAAATGAAAGACAGGAGGCCATGAGGTGAGTGAGCCGGAGTCCTGAAGCGATGGCAGGAAGAGGAGATGCTGTTATGGAAGCTGTGTTTGTTGTCAGGGACAGAAGTAGCTGAAAGCACCCCAGTGGACACTCATCCGTTCCCGCACCAGTGGCCTCTGGGGCCGGACAACTCTGCTGTAGGCAAAGTGTTGATTCTCTGCTTAGTGATGCCTGCCAGGAGCCTCTTCCTCCGTCTCTCAGTGTGATAAAGTTTCGATGTTGTAACACGTCCCCTGGGGAACAAAACCACCTCTAGTTGAGAACCATATACGAGATGTACATTTATGAGTCTCAAATAACCAAGCACAGCTATTCTCCCTAGCTTTGTCTAGGACATCATTCAGATGACGGAATACTGATCTCCTCCAGGGCCCCTCCTCATGCATGGCTCTTTGCATCAAGACCTCTCATTTTCACTGCCCATCGTTGGTTTCCCTTTTCTCTCCTTTCCCCTCTCTCTCACTCTACAGGCAGAGCTGTTCTGAGCAACCATTCAAGGAAAGCTTAACAATTAACCAGGGAATTCTTTTTTGCTGATGTCTGTGACACCTTGGACAAAATCCAGACAAGAGTCTCCTAATCACCCTCAAATAAAACGAATGCTTTGTTTGTTATCTGGGGGTCTTACTGTACTGCCTAGGCTGGCCTTGAACTCCTGGGCTCAAGTCATCCTCATGACCCAAACTCCTGAGTACTGGGATTAAAAATGTGTGCTGTCACACCCACAGATGTAAGTGCTTTTTAGTTAAAACGGAAATCTAAGTGTGAGAAACTTGAGTGAGTTGAGAGCCCTGTGAAGGAATGGCAGCTCACTGATGCTGAAGATAGCTCAGGTGCGTGCTACACTCAGTCAGGGCCCCGGGTCCAGTCTCATTCCGTCTGTGTTGATGCCACGTTGTAGATGAGGGCACAGAGATTTACTGGAATCTCCAGAGCTGAAGAGGCAGCATGAAAATTTGAACCAAGGCAGCATGACTCTTGGTATACTTAGCCCCGGTTCATTTAGCAACAGTCCTTAAGGAGTAGAGGGTCACTGAATGAGACCTGAGACGAGGGGAGGGGTGGCTTTTCAGGAGTTGTAAGAAGGCATTGGCTGGGTTCTGAGGCCCCAGCTTTCAGTGTCTGGGCCCATGCAAATCACCAAGTGAATGCGGTCCCATTTCTGTTTCCATCTGTCTTAGCGGAACTGACCCTGCTTAGCGGTGTGGAGTATTGCTTTCCCAGTTTAGAAAGTTCATTTACTGAGGGCAGCTGAACTGAAGAGTATAGTTCAAGTGGGTGACCCAGCGGGCAGGTGTTGGAGGCAGGAGGTGGGGGCAGGGAATGAGGGCTGCAGAATTGAGAAAAGGTTGAACTTGTGAGTCCTTTAGGAACATGAGAGGGGAGGAAAAAAACCAAAAACCAAAACCAAAGGGAACAATCCAGAGCCTTGCTAGTACCTCCATCTTTAACTTTTCTAAATTCTGTTCGAGGTTCATTTTGTATTTTCAATATAAAACCAAAAATTATAGTTTCTAGTTTTTTGGTGGCACAAAAAAAAAAAACTAAAAACAAAAAGCCCGTACGAACTTGAAAAGTACCACCATTCCCTCCACCGCTGCAAAAGTTAAGTGTGTGTCAGAAAGAGAGAGAAATGAGGAAGCACCGAAATATAACCCGCAGTCCCACCACCAGCAAATCGCTGCAGTTATTGTTAGCCTTGTTCTTGCAGGCCACAAAGACCATCTTCACACAAGTTGCCATCAGATGATTGCATTGAACAAGATGAGAAAGAGGAAGAAGGAAAGCCCTAGAACGAGTCACAAAGAACAGATGAACCTTGGTGCTGGCTGCTGTCGAGGGCCTCCATGGAGCAGAATGATCCTTCCTAAAGATGGGGCTCCGATAAGGCCCCTTCTTTGCCACTGACCAGAGGCTGCACCCACACCCGAGCCTGGAGCAACTCCTCCGTAAGCCCTTGGAAATTCTTGTGTTCACCCTAGAGCTCCCTCCAGGAAGCAGTCACCCGTGCAGGCCTGAACACATTCCTGGACACTGGGTCATGGGCACTGCCTCAAGAGCCATGGTCTTTACAGACTTTGAAAACTCCAGCATTCCCTGGCATCCATCCTTCTTGGGCCTTCTAGAAGGTGGTGCTTCTAAAGGCAGAAGGGGAATGAAGTCCAGCAGTCACCAGGAAACACTGGTTTAGACTGAAATATGTCAGGTGTCCGTGTGACTGCTATATAACTAACTCAATGCACACACAAATACATGAGCATATACTTTTGACATATAGTTTAAATTTCTTTTAGCTTTAAGAGAGAGATTTTTTTCTCATACAATGGTATAAAAATTTTGATTTCAATAGAAAAAAATCCATCAACAGAACACTCAAAATCTCTAAGGAAAAGAAGGCTGGCGGGAGCCCAGTGTTGGTGGTGCCCACCTTTAATCCCAGCACTGGGGAGGCAGAGGTAGGGGGATCTCTGTGAGTTTGAGGCCAGTTTGGTCTACAAGAGCTAGTTCCAGGACAGCCTCCAAAGCCACAGAGAAACCCTGTCTTGAAAAAACAAAACAAAACAAAACAACAACAACAAAAAAAACCAAGAAGACTGGCAGACACACACACACACACACTCCCCACAACGACAACAGCCTGGCTCCTCTGTGGTGTAGAGCTAGTGACCAGAGGAGGCAGATTCCTCGCTTGAGAAAAAGCCTAAGAGTTTGGCACTGAACAAGGCATGCTGTGTCATATGGCTGGCTACCTCTGGCTGGCTTAGAGAGTTGCCTTGAGATTCAGCAGTTGTGCTTGCTGGGGCCCCCAGGCAGCTATTCAGTCTCCCAGGCTGGCCCACAACTTCAGGCCTGAATAGAAGAGACTCCATTAAGAAGTCCCCTGTGCTGCCAGCAGGGTGTAGTGCCAACCTTGGAGAATCCGAGGTTGGCACCTGCATGAGCTGTGCATCCGTCTGGCTGGTGGAGGTCTTCCTGATTCCTGAGTTGACGCTAGGTTCCCTGCTGCATCCTCATGAGAAGGCCCAAGAGGGCTACCTGGCTCACCGGAAGCCAAGTGCCACTGCTGCCTTCCCCATAGGTTAACTCCCATAGGAGGATGAGGACGCTCTGGCTGAGCTCATGGAAGCTCTCTGAACCAATACAGTAAGGATGGTGTGGTGGCTGAAACCTGCACCACCAGCATTTAAGAAGCCAAGTCAGGAGAACTGTCATAAGCCCAAGGCCAGCCTGGGTCAAAGAGTGAGTGAGACCCTATGAAACTAACCAACAGACACCAAAGAACAACTATAATAACAGATACAATAAAATCCACTGCCCCTATGGAGGTGGAGGCATGTCTAAGACCTGGGCCTTGCACAGTCAGGGGGGAAGGAGTAAGAGTATGCCACTGACTTAGGTTAAACACAAGTATGTGTGCACAAAAATAACCAAAATTACCCTTTACTTGTCGTAAAGCTCACACCATGAAAATTAAGCCACTCTCCAACCTTATCTATCTCTCCAGTTCCCACACCCAGAGGCAGCTACTATATTGATTCCTTGCAGAGAAATCCATTCATATACAAACATGCCACCTTCAGTCTGTTCTCTGTGATCAAAGCGCACTCCAATGGATTCCTGGGCCTGCCACTCCCCTTTCAGGCTTGAGAACAAATGGGGTCCCTGAAGTGCTCCCCTTCTCTCTTCTTGGGGGAGGGTTTTTTTGAGGCACCAGGTCTCACATAACTGAGGCCTCTGGTCACTGAGGCCTAAAACTTCTGACCCTCTTGTTTGTACTTCCCCAAATGTTGGGATCATAGGCACTGGCCTGAAGCACTGGGGACTGAACTCAGGACTTCACGTGGATTCTAGGCAAGCATCCACCAGCTGAGCTACAGCCCCAGCCCCTCTGGCTAACTAGCTCTTTAATCACCAACCACATGGGTGCTCTCGATCTTTCTGTAACTGATCTTTCTGTAACTCTTTTCAGGCCTTTGATTTCAGTCCTTCAAATGAGCTGTCTCTAAATGTCCTTCCGTATAACACCATCAGAGCCTTGTTTTGAGTATTCTATGCAAATTCAGGGGTTGATATGTATCTCTGTGATTATGTATTTAATCCAGTTGGACTAGAACTTTCTGAGGGTAGAGACCCTGGCATCCCATGCACTGGCAACACACACAGTCCTGGCCAACAATTTGAACAATTTTTTCATAGTGTTTTCTTTTTAAAATCACAGTTATTTTGTGTATAGGGTATGTGAGGAGCATTCACGCCACAGGGTGCATGGAAAGGCCAGAGGACAATTTTTGCAAGTCAGTTTTCTTCTTCCACTGTGTGGAGTTGAACTCAGATCATCAGGCTTGGTGGAAAGTGCCTTAACCTGCTGAGCCATGTCACCAGCCTAGATAAGTATTTTCCTCACAAATACTTCGTGAGGAAACAGATCAAGTCTTGAGTGGTGGGGTTGAGGAGAATTATGGATCTCTTGTTTTTTAACTTAAAAAATTTACAAAGAGTTTTAGATGAACACAGAGTATAAAGAACACAATAGACCTCTATATTCACTACCTGGTATTATTAGTTGTCACAGTTTTAGCACATTTATATGATTTCTCCTAGCCTTCTGAAAACACAGAAGCATTAATTACCATTTATTGAATGTTTAATATGTGCTGGACGTTGGGCTAAAAGCTTTGCCTATATATTGTCACTTCATTTTCTCAACAACTCTGCCAGGTGACTTCTTAGCCCCATATTAGTGACAAGGAAACTGACACGGTTTAAATCAATTTAGGCTGTTCCCTAGCTCAGGCGGATGCCTGTGTATAAGACTCATGCTTTTTTAAAAAAATATTATTTATTTATGTGCATGTGCCTGCATGATTTTATGTGCTCCTCTTGTATGCAGATGCAGATACTCTTGGAGAGCAGAGGGAGTCGGATCTCCCAGAACTGGAGTTACAGGCAGTTGGGAGCACTGGGAACTGAACCATGGTCCTCTGCAAGAACACAGTTTTTCTTAACCACTGAAGCCTCCCTCAAAGGCCATGTTCTTGACTATGAAACATTGCTTGTTGTAATTTTAATCAGACATACTTCCTTTCTATTGCCTTTTCTCCTGCATATCTCTATGTTTTTTTATTTTTTAGCGGAAAGGATGTCATGGTTGTAAGAGACTCTGGAATAACTCATGTGGGGGACTCATCTGAGCTCAGATCCAGCATAAACGTCACTACATTGTGACCCCTGCCTGAACTCTAGAGCCCCGAGAAAAGGGCTCTTTCCTCCCAATCGGCTTCCCCTGCTCACCCACCAAGCCCTAGGTGGGTGGGCAAAGGCAGAGCTCGTGGTGCCTTGAGGCTTCGATGATGCCGAGAATGGAAAGACTGTGCAGCATAGGAAGCATGCATGACGGTTCAAGGCACAAGCTTGACGATGGTGCGTAGCGAGACTTGCGAGGTTTCCTGCAGGCACCTAACTGAAAAGAATGGGAATTGGTGACAATTTCCAGCTGGCTTACTTCTTAGACTTCATAAGTTTAGTCATCTTACAGTGGTGAAGAAAACACTACCACCTGGGTAGCCCTCAAAGAATAAACCCAGAAGATTTCCGTACGAAACACACTCACTGTTTTCATTTTTGCATACGGAGTATTAATAGCTTTCCCTTGGTGAGAGCGAGTGCGTGCAGGCGCTGTCCTGAGCCCTCTTCACACATTGCCTTGTTCTGTTCTTTTCACAGCTCTATACGGCAGGCATATTTGTCTCACTGTTACGCAGAGGCACACGGGCAGTTGAGCTACCCAAGGTCATCTAAGAAGTGGTAAAAGTGGGCCTTGAACACCTGCCCATACATCTAACGTCTTCCTATGTGTGTCTGTTTGGATGAAAAGTTGCTTTCAGCCAGGCATGTCTCCTGACCCACAGCATAAGCGCCAGGCTATTATTAAAATATTCCCAAGACTGGAGTAGTAGAACATACTTACAGTCCCAACACTAGAGGGTCAAGAGACTCACAAGTTTGAATTCAAGGGCAGCCTGTGCGGTGTAGTGAGACCCTGTCTCAAAGGAGACAAAGGGCCAGGGTGGGGTGGGGCTAGCGATGTAGTTCACTGGTAGAGTGCTCGTCTAGCTTGGGCGAGGTCCTGAGTTTGATCCTATCCCTGAGAAAAACTTTTTCAGTCTCCTCACGGTTGGAACTGTCCAACCTAAACTAGAGTTAGTTTCTTTTTTTTAAATTCCAGCTGCTCTCAATATGTGTGACTCACTGTCAGGAATCGTCCTTTTTTTCTTATTAAGTAACCCATGATTTGCACCCATGTCACAAACCCCAAACCAGCCGTGCCCGCTTACCTGCCAACCTCATTGATCAGCAGAAATGCTCACAGAAGGAACTAGCTTAAAAATCTGGTTTTTTTGTTTGTTTGTTTGTTTTGTTTTTGCTGGGCGGTGGTGGTGCATGCCTTTAATCCCAGCACTTGGGAGGCAGAGGCAGGCAGATTTCTGTGAGTTCGAGACCAGCCTGGTCTACAAGAGCTAGTTCCAAAGCCACAGAGAAACCCTGTCTTGAAAAACAAAGAAACAAAAAAATCTGTAGCTTTGGAGCCGGTCCTGGAACTTGATCTGTAGACCAGGCTGGCATTGAACTCACAGAGATCTGCCTGCCTCTGCCTCCTGAGTACTGAGATTAAAGGGGTGCATCACCACAGGCCAGCTAGTTTTAAAACGTTATAATAATTTTCAACCCGATAATCTCCTCACTGTACTCAAGAAAGGACAGTGATCAGAGAGGACAGGAGATGGGACATCGCAGAACTTCAGAGATCTCAGATACTTACTTTAACGAGGGAGAGAATCTCATTCTGTGGAAGGCTGGAGTAGGAGGCAGTGACTCTTGGCTATGGTTGGGATCTTTTATGTCCCCCAGAGACCCACGCACTAATGGCTTGACTGCTTGTGGCACCAC